AGGATCAAAGCTCAGAGAGGTTAAAGAACTCTCCCAAAGTCACCCAGCACCAACTCTAGGGCTTCTGGGTTCTCTCTCCAAAAGGAGGCCTGGGGCCCCTCCCTCCTGTTACCATGGTAACCCTGCCACCTATAAAAAGGGACAGGGATTGGGAGGCAGGTATCATCCAAGCCTCCTTCCTCCTGCACCCTTGGGCTCTGCCAGCGTGGGGTCTCTCAGTAACTTCATTTCTGCCTGCAGAGTTGCTCTGGGCGTCTAACCCTCAGCCTAGCCCCACGCTCTTGCTCGCCCACGGCTGGGAGCCGGCTCCTCTGGGGGAGGGAGGCAGAATGTTGGCAGAACTTCTCCAAAAGGGAGGGGGAGAGGGAGAGAGATGGGGGGAGGGAGAGGGAGAGAGAGGGAGAGAGAGAGGGAGAGAGGGAGAGAGAAAAGGAGGGAGGGAGAGAGAGAGAGAGAGAGAGAGAGAGAGAGAGAGAGAGAGAGAGAGAAGAGGTGGAGAGAGGGTTGATTCTTTTTTTTTTTTTTTGTGGAACCGGAGAGAGGGATGATTCTTAAAGGGCCACAGCACAATTAGTCTCCTAATGATACATCTAATTAGCAGCCCCCTAATTAGCAGCGACTTAGGCGTAATTACAAACCCACCAGGAACCAAAGCAAAGCCTCTCAGGGGCTCCCTTCTCCGCCCTCTTCTTTGGCTCTCAGAAGCAGGGCCATGAATTCCTTCTGGGAAGTTCCCTCCACAGTCCAACCACCTGTCCCTGTGCAGCAGTTCTAACGGGAGATTGGGTAGCCGATGCCCATGCCCCTGCCCAGCATTCTCTGGCCCAGCCGACTCCCCAGGGGCTGGGGAAAGCAGCCCAGCTTAAAGCCTTTTCCTGCAAACTCCTCTCACTGGGGCCCCCGGTTGGAGGAGGGGTCGGAAGAGAAGGCCCTGGATAAATATTTGTAAACCTGGTGTGCGCCACCAGGGACAGCCAGAGTGCTGCCTCTGCCTCGTCTACCAGCAGCCCTGGAACCTAATCTGGGCCTAGACAGCAGGGGTGAAAGGATCAGGTTGAGCAGGACGCAGAGCAGGAGGGCAGATGGTGCCCCGCCCAGGGCCTGGTGGGCCAGCTGGGTCCACGGTGGGTGCCCCAGTGCTTCTGGGTGCCTTGGTGCCTGCAGGGATGGGGTGGGGCTGGCCTGGGGCTCTCCTCAAGCCGCCGCCCAGCGTGGGGTGGGGTGAGCAGGTGTGTTGGTCCTGCAGGAGAGGGCAGGGCATTGCAGAGAGGAACCCCACACTTGTGGGGGGGGGGCGCTCACACCAACCTGCACTGTTGAAGGCTGGGGATCACAGCACCCGTGTTTGGGGCTGCCACGCACTGACGGGTAAACTGAGGCCCAGAGCAGGAGGCACTCTGCTAAGCCACACTGCTTGGAGTCAGCAGTTGGGCAGAGATGGAGAGTCAGGGCGCTGGACTTCTAACCCGGGGACCTTTTAAGTCATCTGGAGTGCCAGGCGGTATGCCTGTCACACAGGGCAGGGACCTCGCTCAAGGCCAGGGAGGCGGTGGACACACAGGCACACACACTCTCACACACACAGCCCTGTGCAGCTCCAGCTCAAGCCCAGGTTCACATCTGCTTGCAACCCCCTTCTCCAAAGAAGCACCAGCTGCTTTCTTGGACCTGAGAGGGCTCTGCCCTGGAGAACATGGAGACCCTCTGTGACCTATCCCCAGGATACAGGTCTGAGGCTGGCAGGTTTTGTGGGATGGAAAGGAGGCTGCAGGCAGGAGTGGCCCAGCCTGACCCAGGACCTAGTGCTGTCTCCAGAGCAACAGTAATTGTCAAAAGATAAATCAGTAAATGGACAAACAGCATGAGATATGGAAGTCAGATTGTGGGTAGGACTGGTCCAGTTTGAAGGGAGAGGTTAGACAGGGGAAAGGATAAGCCCGAGTGCTACGGCAAAGGCTACAGGTTAGACAGCCAGCAGGATTGGGGAGGGGTTCTGTCCTGGAACGAGAAGGGGTGATGCTTTGGGGGCAAACGGGGGGGCTTGGGGCACTCGGGGACACCCCTCTGGGTAGACCCTCTGGCCAGGTCAACCTGAGCAGGGGCGGAGACAAAGGTGTGTGGGAGGAGAGTTAAAGGCTGGGGAGAGGGAGAGGCCAGGGAGTGGGGTGGGAGATGCCCAGGGACCAGAAGGAAGAGGGGACACAGAGAAGCACAGACGGACGGACATGGAGAGGAACAGAAGGACAGAGCCCCAGGAAGGGCTAGACGGGGCGCAGAGACAGAAATAACAGATGGCGCAAGGGGCAGGCAGAGAGAACCCGGGGGCTTGGAGTCAGAGCCAGGAAAGCCACGGAGTGACCCGAGCAGACAGAGGGACCCTGAAAGGCGTCCGGACAGGCAGCCCTGGCCCCCAGAGCGGCGGCGCAGAGGGGAGATGAGACCCAGAGGCAGGAGGGGGTCGGCGGGGCACGGGGTCACCCGGGTCCCCGGGTAGGGGTGTCCCATCCTGCACCCTGCCCGGAGGCAGCATGGGGCACCCCCTCCCCGGGGACAGCACCTCAACCCCACCCCTGCCCATCCGACCCCATCCCCGAGAGCCAGCAAAGGAAGCGTCCCGCTTCTCCAGCGCACCCCGAATCACACACCTCGGTGCTGAAATTCCGCCCCGCACACTGGGGGTCTCTTACCTTCGGCTGCGGCCTGGGACCGGTCCACCCAGCATGGGGCTGGCAGCGGTGGGCGACTCCGCCCGAGGAGAGGGAACGAGGCAGAGAGGAGCGGAGCTGGGAGCGCAAGGGAGCAGGGAGGAGGGGAGGGAGGGGGCGGGGGAGG